TCATTAATATAAACTTCGAAGGATTCTGCCTTTTTCTATTTCACTCGAGGGGAAGTGTCCCCTCCCGGACTCTCTTCCCCACCCGGTGATTGACGCTGCGCTGTGCTGAACGGTTCAGCCTGAACCTTTCCCCTACGTCTGACCGTTCCCCACTCCTCTGTCAATCGAACCATATGCCACCGCTTACGTATTGTCGCTCGCCCACCCAGGCACCTAGCGGCCAGCGGTCAGTTGATGATAAATCTCGCTCATATTCCTACGCAGCTATACGCATTGATTAAGCCAACTTTCGAATAATTAGAATTTCTTCGATAATAGTTTTCTTTATTTATTCGACTATATTTTTTTCTCTGTTCTACTTTGATTTCCTTGGTTCTCTACTGTGTTTTTCCTATATCTCTTCGGTGTTTTTATTTTACCGTGCTCATACTCACACGCAGCTGAGCTTAGATTACCGTAAAGGAGTCGTTTTCTTTGTTGTTTTTCTGAATTTTTTTCTCTGTTATACTGTGTTTTACCTAAATCTCTTCGGTGTTTTTATTTTATCGTGCTCATGCTCACACGCAGCTGAGCTTAGATTACCGCAAAGGAGTCGTTTTCTTTGTTGTTTTTCTGAATTTTTTTCTCTGTTATACCGTGTTTTTCCTAAATCTCCTCGGTGTTTTCATTTTATCGTGCTCATGCTCACACGCAGCTGAGCTTAGATTAGCAAAGGAGTCGTTTTCTTTGTTGTTTTTCTGAATTTTTTTCTCTGTTATACTGTGTTTTTCTTGAATCTCTTCTGCGTTTGTCTGCCTTTTCTTTTTCTTTCTGTTCTGATATTTCTTTTTCTATCCTTTGTTCTTTGAGGATATTTGAGGATATTTTTGATAAAATAATGAATGCAGCTTCAGTTGATGAGGTATTGCAGGACGTGTTGTCTGGCGACACAATTAATTTGTTTTTTGACATTGTGCGTCGTAAGACCAACTTCCGACCTGTGAATGTAAATTTAATGGGCTTGTGGGATTTCATAGGCCCAGCTCAATTGAATAATGGCAAATTTATTCAAATTTTGAGTAGTAGGCCCACCGGGAATATCAATGAAATTTCCCACTGGGTAACTTTTTATTTTTTTAACAACGCTGTAAATGTCTATGATAGTTTAAACAGGGGGGATATAACTCTTGAACAAAGATTATTTTTGAATCAGTTGTTTCCTCAAGGGTTCGTTGTGAACTACCATAGGGTCGAACAGCAGACAAATACCATCGATTGCGGAATCTATGCTATTGCATTCGCAACTGCCTTAATTTTAGATCAGGATCCGTGTGATCTCAGGTTTGAACTGCACAGCATGCGTCCGCATCTCCTTCGCGTGTTAACTGCTCAAAGCCTTCTCCCGTTTCCAACAATCAGTCCCACAACAACAACGACACTATCTATCGATAAGCAAAATCAATGTATACACGTTACCTCCTCTGAAGGTTCTACAGTAGGGGGGAAAAAGCAAGGTTGCCCAAAGGCGAGTGAGGCTGATAAAAAAAAGAAAAAAGCAGAGTATGACAGGTTAAGATATTTAGCGAAAAAAAATTCGCGAGATTCACATTTAGGTGAAAAATTAGAATTGCAGGAGGAGGTAATCGCTGCGACGAAGACACTCGGGCGTAAAAAAATAAGTGAGGCAGAGAAAAAAGCACGCAAGTCTGAGTACAACAGGCTTAGGTATTTGGCGCTAAAAAATTCTAAAAAATCGTGTTCAGAAAGCAGTGAGGCGGGCTTTTCGGCGAAAAAAAGGGCTCGAAAATCAATTTTACCGGTAAATTCTGCTAATAATTTATTTGAAAGTGAGGAACCTGCAGATCGTTCATGCGCTATGGAAGCAGGGGTGACTGTTGGTATTGATGATAGCGAAGCACGTGTACATATCCCATGCTCTGCTGAGGAAATGGTCACTGACGCTATTGACAACGACGAGGTAATAATACCTACGACGAACAAATTGGGTTACTTGGCAAAAAAAGCGGCGCAAAAATCAAATTTACCAATGGATTCTGTAATTCACCGTTTTGAAAGTGAAACACGTACAGATCATACAGATGCTATGGAAATAGAGGTGGGTGTTGGTATTGATGGTAGCGAAACGCGTGCTGATCGTTCATGCTTTACTACGGAAATGGTCAGGGGTGGTAATGATAGCGAACCACATACGCATCCTAACGTAGAAAAGTCTCCAATATTAGAACTGACGGAGAATATTTTGAGCAAATACTCTATCAAGTTAAGGGCACCAAAATTTACTGATCATCCTAATTTCCAATGCTCTTATTGTCATGCCCCGTTATTTTGGGAGGAACGGAGCAGAGAAAAGTGGTGTTGCAGAGCGGGGAAGATCGACAAAGAAATTCCTCAATTAACTGCTGCCTTCTATTCAAATCCTGAGTTCAAGAAAAATTGTCGTTCCTATAATAATCTGTTTGCATTTTCTGCAATTGGCGTGACAGGGGGGTTCAAAACTTTCGACAGTGGGCCCTCCTTAGTTAAAGTACAAGGACGCGTGTATCACAGAATATTTGATATCAACTATACCGATTCCACTAATAATACGGCACTTTACATCGATGACGGAAAAATGCGTCATAATATGGCAGAAAAACAAAAGCTCAACGCTCATATTGTAAAAGAAATTTCTGAATACATGGAGGAGGTAAATCCTTTTGTCCCTGTTTTAAGACGATTAAGTTTGGAAGCACACGAGGAAGCTCATATTGTATTTGAGAAAACTAGCAGACGTACCCACGGTCCAGTTTTAGGAGATCAACCAAGAACTGAGGAAATTTCTGCCGTTTTAAGGATTGGTGCTGAATCTGACCCTCGGAAAGTAATAATTTGGAAAATTAGTGATAGAAAGCCTCAGTTTATTCACTTTTTAGACCCAGCTTACGAGTGTTTACAATACCCATTGTTGCTTCCTCATGGTACAGCTGGCTGGTCAACAGATATGAAGGATAAAGACGGGGGAAAACTAAACCAACATAAGTATTATAGATATTTACTATTGTCAGATTCACGGTTCACGAAATACCCGAGATTAGGGCAAGAGTATTTAGTTGATGGTTGGTGCCGGATTGAAGAGGAGCGGTTGCAGTTTTTCAAGTACAACCAAGGTTCCTTTTTTAGAGTGGCTTCCAGGGCAGAGTTACAAAGAGATGAAACTATTATGGGAGAGGGTGGGCCGAAAATTGGAAGGTTGTATTTACCGAGCTCATTTACTCACGGGCCAAGGTACATGAGACTTAAATACCAAGATGGAGCTGCGCTTATTTCTAGGAGAGGCAAACCAAGTTTCTTTATCACCGTTACTTGCAACCCCAAGTGGCCAGAAATACATGAAAACTTGGTAGAAGGAGAGACATCCATCGATCGGCCAGACCTTACATGTCGCATTTTTGAAATTAAATTAAGACAGTTATTAGACATTTTCAGGAAAGGTATCATTTTTGGACGTATGACATATTTTATGTATGTAATTGAGTGGCAGAAGCGTGGACTACCACACGCCCATATAGCCTTGAGGGTGGAAGGAGGGGGGCCTAAAAATCCAAATGAAATTGACAGGTTTGTTCGAGCCACTATACCGGACGAAAATGAACTGAATGGTGCTCTCCGTGAAATGGTGATAACGCATATGGTTCACGGTCCGTGCGGTCGTGACAAACCAAATGCTCCGTGTTCAGAAAATTCCATTTGTACAAAAAAATTTCCCAAGCCGATCGTTGAACGTACGTATACAGATGAGCGCGGTTACGTTCAGTATCAGCGACCGTCTAAGTCACAAATAAAATTAAAAAAAGGTCGACAAATAAATGATCAATGGATTGTGCCGTACAATCCTCATCTCCTCATGATTTGGGGCGGTCATTGCAATGTCGAAATTTCTACGTCGGTCAAAATAATTAAGTACATGTGTAAGTTTATGCATAAAGGGCCTGACAGAGCAAAGGTTGCCGTCGTTCCCGAATCTGAAAGGAATGAGGTTGAAGAGTACGTGGAGAACCGAATCATAAGCGCTTCGGAAGCAGTCTGGAGGATTTTCGAATTCGACATCACCGGCCGCAGTCCCACTGTTGAAGCGTTGCCGATACATTTAGAGGGCAACGAGCAGGTTATATTTCAAGAGGGACTCGAAAAAGAAGCCGCAGAAAAATCCATTTCCAAACTGCTCCTTTATTTTCAACGACCAAAAACGCCTGAGTTTGAACAGCTTACGTACCTCGATTTTTACGAAACTTACATTGTTACGACAAAAGCATCTAAGTTGACAACTTTTACATTCCCAGATCAAAAACATTTTTTACACAAAAGGCAGCGGGGAAAATGCATCTGTAGAATGTACTGGTTGTCACCTACTGTAGGTGACGTTTACTATTTACGATTGTTATTGACGCGCTTCCCGGCTTACGGGTTCAAAGACTTGAAAACTGTAGATGGTACCGTTTTTGATACTTTCCAAGAGGCTGCCCATGCACATGGCTTCCTTGCTGACGAGAATGAGTACAAAGTGGCTTTGAGGGAAGCAGCAGCGTTTAAAACAGGTCATGAATTGCGATCTCTGTTTTTCAATTTAATCATGGGAGGAGCACCTGCTGCTATTTTATGGTCAGAATTCAAGGATATTCTCGCTGAGGATTAGGTACATTGAAAAATTTGAAGGCAACGAGGTAAGAGCTTTTAATAAGGCGCTCACTGATTTGGACCGAATGCTTCGAAAGCATGGCAAAACTACGGTTGAAATAGGGCTTCCACCCGCATTTGAAGAGTCCAGCGAGATTTCGAGGGAATATCTTCGCTGGAATACATCGAAATTATTGGAGTTTGTAAATCACTGGGAGCCCCTCCTTAGTCATGAACAAAGGTCGTTTTATGACAGAGCAATAAATCAAACGTTGAATGATAGAAACAACTTTCATGTTTACTTAGACGGTCTAGGAGGATCCGGAAAAACTGTTCTGTTATGTTTAATTGCAGCCAAATTACGTAGTGAAGGTAGAATTGTCATCTGTGTCGCCACTACGGGTATTGCTGCTTTAGCTTATGATGGAGGCTGCACTGCACATTCAATGTTTAAAGTTCCTGTTGAGAATCTGAATCATCGATCAGTTTGTAACCTAAGTAGCTCATCTCAGAGGGCTGATTTATTACGGGAGGCATCTCTCTTTATTTGGGATGAGTCACCAATGACCCACAAATACATAATTGAGACAGTAGATAGGACTTTAAGGGATTTTACCGGACACGACAAAGAATTTTTTGGAGGTAAAAATATTATTTTCGCTGGAAATTTCCGACAGATTCCTCCCGTAATAAAGCACGGTTCCTCTGAGGATATAATTCGATCCAGCATCAGATTTTCATACGTTTGGAGTATGCTGGAGAAAGTTAGTCTGACTGTCTCACAGAGGGCTCAAGACGACCCTTCGTTCTCAGCAGAAATTTTAAACATTGGAGAAGGAAGAATTGAGACGGTAATCTTTAAAGGCGAAGAGGTCGTGTTTTTAAAAAATTACAAGTATGTGTTGTCCATCCCAGATCTGATTGAAAATGTGTACCCCGATGATATTTTGGATCAGCCCTCAGAAATTTCAAAGAGAGCCATTGTTTCAGGGACAAATAAAAATATAGACGAAATAAATCACATTATACTAGAACAGAAAATCAACGGTTCTGTCTATATTTTATACAGCGCAGATTCAATTGTTTTGGAGGAAGGCGAGAACCCCGATAATGCTCACATTACCGCAGATGTGCTTCATAAATTATCAGAACCTGGAATCCCAGATCACGATTTGAAGGTTAAAATTGGCTCTTTATGTATCCTGCTTAAAAATTTAAATTTTGAAGACAAATTAGTTAATGGCACAAAATTAATAATAAAAAGGGTTTTAAAATTTTTGTTAGAGGTATGCACACCGGAAAATACTACGAAAACGTTTCTAATACCTAGGGTTATTTTTAAATTGTCAGCCGGCAGAAATGGTTTAGAAATAACCCGAAGACAATTTCCTATTAAGCTGGCCTACGCTTTGACAGTGAACAAGTCCCAGGGCCAGACACTGAACTTCGTAGGTCTGGATCTCAGAGAAAATCTGTTCGCTCATGGCCAACTATACGTAGGAATGAGTAGAGCAAGGCGAAGGGAAAACGTATGCCTGTTGACGAACCCCGACAGGATCCACAACGACGCCGTGGCAACTCGCAACATTGTTTATCCAGAATTATTATTGTGAAAAAAGGGAAATTTATATTAATACTTACACGGAGAAAAAAACTTCGTGCATGGGACCCGACGTTGAGATCATATGAATCTCTTAAAACTTGAGGTCAGCTGCCGAAATTCAGGTCAGAAATCTGAAACACTTCGGTATGCACCGAGTACTTCAGATGTGTGACCTGAAACCTTCGATATATACCGAACTACTTCAATTGTCTGACCCGAACTTCGGCAGATGGACCTTAACTTTTCGGATG